AGAGGCCGCCGTGGCCTTAAGTAGTCATGGCAGAGGGCAGAAAGCAGAGGGCAGAGGGTAGAAGGGGAGAGGCTAATCCTCTCTCTCTCTCTCGCTCTCTCGAACAACACCAAAATTTTCAGCACTAACTGAAAGAATGAGAGATGGAGAGGCCGCCGTGGCCTTAAGTAGTCATGGCAGAGGGCAGAAAGCAGAGGGCAGAGGGTAGAAGGGGAGAGGCTAATCCTCTCTCTCTCTCGCTCTCTCGAACAACACCAAAATTTTCAGCACTAACTGAAAGAATGAGAGATGGAGAGGCCGCCGTGGCCTTAAGTAGTCATGGCAGAGGGCAGAAAGCAGAGGGCAGAGGGTAGAAGGGGAGAGGCTAATCCTCTCTCTCTCTCTCGCTCTCTCGAACAACACCAAAATTTTCAGCACTAACTGAAAGAATGAGAGATGGAGAGGCCGCCGTGGCCTTAAGTAGTCATGGCAGAGGGCAGAAAGCAGAGGGCAGAGGGTAGAAGGGGAGAGGCTAATCCTCTCTCTCTCTCGCTCTCTCGAACAACACCAAAATTTTCAGCACTAACTGAAAGAATGAGAGATGGAGAGGCCGCCGTGGCCTTAAGTAGTCATGGCAGAGGGCAGAAAGCAGAGGGCAGAGGGTAGAAGGGGAGAGGCTAATCCTCTCTCTCTCTCGCTCTCTCGAACAACACCAAAATTTTCAGCACTAACTGAAAGAATGAGAGATGGAGAGGCCGCCGTGGCCTTAAGTAGTCATGGCAGAGGGCAGAAAGCAGAGGGCAGAGGGTAGAAGGGGAGAGGCTAATCCTCTCTCTCTCTCTCGCTCTCTCGAACAACACCAAAATTTTCAGCACTAACTGAAAGAATGAGAGATGGAGAGGCCGCCGTGGCCTTAAGTAGTCATGGCAGAGGGCAGAAAGCAGAGGGCAGAGGGTAGAAGGGGAGAGGCTAATCCTCTCTCTCTCTCGCTCTCTCGAACAACACCAAAATTTTCAGCACTAACTGAAAGAATGAGAGATGGAGAGGCCGCCGTGGCCTTAAGTAGTCATGGCAGAGGGCAGAAAGCAGAGGGCAGAGGGTAGAAGGGGAGAGGCTAATCCTCTCTCTCTCTCTCGCTCTCTCGAACAACACCAAAATTTTCAGCACTAACTGAAAGAATGAGAGATGGAGAGGCCGCCGTGGCCTTAAGTAGTCATGGCAGAGGGCAGAAAGCAGAGGGCAGAGGGTAGAAGGGGAGAGGCTAATCCTCTCTCTCTCTCTCGCTCTCTCGAACAACACCAAAATTTTCAGCACTAACTGAAAGAATGAGAGATGGAGAGGCCGCCGTGGCCTTAAGTAGTCATGGCAGAGGGCAGAAAGCAGAGGGCAGAGGGTAGAAGGGGAGAGGCTAATCCTCTCTCTCTCTCGCTCTCTCGAACAACACCAAAATTTTCAGCACTAACTGAAAGAATGAGAGATGGAGAGGCCGCCGTGGCCTTAAGTAGTCATGGCAGAGGGCAGAAAGCAGAGGGCAGAGGGTAGAAGGGGAGAGGCTAATCCTCTCTCTCTCTCTCGCTCTCTCGAACAACACCAAAATTTTCAGCACTAACTGAAAGAATGAGAGATGGAGAGGCCGCCGTGGCCTTAAGTAGTCATGGCAGAGGGCAGAAAGCAGAGGGCAGAGGGTAGAAGGGGAGAGGCTAATCCTCTCTCTCTCTCGCTCTCTCGAACAACACCAAAATTTTCAGCACTAACTGAAAGAATGAGAGATGGAGAGGCCGCCGTGGCCTTAAGTAGTCATGGCAGAGGGCAGAAAGCAGAGGGCAGAGGGTAGAAGGGGAGAGGCTAATCCTCTCTCTCTCTCTCGCTCTCTCGAACAACACCAAAATTTTCAGCACTAACTGAAAGAATGAGAGATGGAGAGGCCGCCGTGGCCTTAAGTAGTCATGGCAGAGGGCAGAAAGCAGAGGGCAGAGGGTAGAAGGGGAGAGGCTAATCCTCTCTCTCTCTCGCTCTCTCGAACAACACCAAAATTTTCAGCACTAACTGAAAGAATGAGAGATGGAGAGGCCGCCGTGGCCTTAAGTAGTCATGGCAGAGGGCAGAAAGCAGAGGGCAGAGGGTAGAAGGGGAGAGGCTAATCCTCTCTCTCTCTCGCTCTCTCGAACAACACCAAAATTTTCAGCACTAACTGAAAGAATGAGAGATGGAGAGGCCGCCGTGGCCTTAAGTAGTCATGGCAGAGGGCAGAAAGCAGAGGGCAGAGGGTAGAAGGGGAGAGGCTAATCCTCTCTCTCTCTCTCGCTCTCTCGAACAACACCAAAATTTTCAGCACTAACTGAAAGAATGAGAGATGGAGAGGCCGCCGTGGCCTTAAGTAGTCATGGCAGAGGGCAGAAAGCAGAGGGCAGAGGGTAGAAGGGGAGAGGCTAATCCTCTCTCTCTCTCGCTCTCTCGAACAACACCAAAATTTTCAGCACTAACTGAAAGAATGAGAGATGGAGAGGCCGCCGTGGCCTTAAGTAGTCATGGCAGAGGGCAGAAAGCAGAGGGCAGAGGGTAGAAGGGGAGAGGCTAATCCTCTCTCTCTCTCTCGCTCTCTCGAACAACACCAAAATTTTCAGCACTAACTGAAAGAATGAGAGATGGAGAGGCCGCCGTGGCCTTAAGTGGTCATGGCAGAGGGCAGAAAGCAGAGGGCAGAGGGTAGAAGGGGAGAGGCTAATCCTCTCTCTCTCTCTCGCTCTCTCGAACAACACCAAAATTTTCAGCACTAACTGAAAGAATGAGAGATGGAGAGGCCGCCGTGGCCTTAAGTAGTCATGGCAGAGGGCAGAAAGCAGAGGGCAGAGGGTAGAAGGGGAGAGGCTAATCCTCTCTCTCTCTCGCTCTCTCGAACAACACCAAAATTTTCAGCACTAACTGAAAGAATGAGAGATGGAGAGGCCGCCGTGGCCTTAAGTAGTCATGGCAGAGGGCAGAAAGCAGAGGGCAGAGGGTAGAAGGGGAGAGGCTAATCCTCTCTCTCTCTCTCTCGCTCTCTCGAACAACACCAAAATTTTCAGCACTAACTGAAAGAATGAGAGATGGAGAGGCCGCCGTGGCCTTAAGTAGTCATGGCAGAGGGCAGAAAGCAGAGGGCAGAGGGTAGAAGGGGAGAGGCTAATCCTCTCTCTCTCTCGCTCTCTCGAACAACACCAAAATTTTCAGCACTAACTGAAAGAATGAGAGATGGAGAGGCCGCCGTGGCCTTAAGTAGTCATGGCAGAGGGCAGAAAGCAGAGGGCAGAGGGTAGAAGGGGAGAGGCTAATCCTCTCTCTCTCTCTCGCTCTCTCGAACAACACCAAAATTTTCAGCACTAACTAATCATCTCTCTCTCTCTCTCTAATGGTCCTTGCATTACTATCAGGGGTGGTACAAAGGAAGATGCAGAACACACAAGCACAACAAACATCCAAACCGAGATCCGAACTACCTCAAGTCTCCTACCTACTCAGCCCCCCCCCCCCTCTGTCCGACCCTACTGGTCGAACGGGGCCTCAATCAACTGGTGCAGCTGTCCCTCACTGAGAGGGATGATGGGTCCTCTAAAGCCGAGCTCGTCCGCCGCCAAGGCCTCGTTGGTCTTGGTGCGGAGGGCGTTGGCCTGCGCCCGCTGGAGGCACACGCTCCAGCGCTGGCGGTACTCCGTCAGCAGCTTCGCTGCTTCGTAGGAGGTAGGAGCCGCGTTAAACCGCAGCTTTGCCGCCAGCTCTGCGCACTGCCGCAGGTAAGCCATCACCCCCGGCGAGGGGTAGCCATAAGTTTCCACTGCAAGCGCGTGGAACCCCACCCACGCGTTCCGCCGTGCGTACTTATCCTCCTTTTTCTCTGCTGCCGCCCTGGCCGCCCATCCAGGAGCTCGGTTGCAGTTCTCGTCCTGCCTTGACACCGGGTCCGTCACGGTCACGTCGCACATCCAAACCTCACCAGTCAGGGGATGACGGATGGTGACATCCGCCTTTAGGTTTTCAACCAGTGAGTAGACATACGTCTCTCTCTCTCTCTCTCTCTCTCTCTCTCTCTCTCTCTCTCTCTCTCTCTCTCTCTCTCTCTCTCTCTCTCTCTCTCTCACCTTGTGCTTCTCCCCCAAGTCGATCCGCCACCAAGCCGTCATGCAACCCCCCTCCACACCACACAAGGCCCCGCTTCTACTCCTACGATGAAAACAACCCAGTTTCTTTTCACACCCCCTTTGACTGAAAAGTCGCCCTGTAGGGTGCTCTCGAAACAACTCCCTCTCTCACCCTGTGTTTCTCCCCCAGGTCGATCCTCCACCAAGCTGTCACGCAGCCTCCCTCCACACAAGGCCCAGCAAAGGATGAGCTCTGCAGGAGTGGGGTTGGGTGCAGAAAGGTTGTCGGGGTGGGGGAAGGATAGAGGGAAACAAGTAAGACATGAGCAGCACCCCTCCACACAAGGCCCAACAAAGGATGAGCTTTAAAGGAGTGGCGCTTGGGCATATAAGAAGGGGGTCAATTAAGGTGTATAGGTCCAAGCACCACCACAAAGAACTTAGTCACTCAGTCACAATGCTGTGTATAGTTCCCTGTCACTGTGAGCTGCCCTCAGTCGGTGTAGGACAGGATAGGGCTTCTGGTTGTCACTGCATGATACCACATAGTACCACTGCACCGCATTGCACCGCATCACACACTGCATTTCACCGCATTGCACTCCCCACTCACCACATAGCCGCCCGATACTACGACCTCGCCATCGGTGTAGCGCGAGTGGAGGTTGCTGGCTGCCACTGAGAGGGCGAAAGAGCACATGCTAGGCACCAGCAGCGCACAGCACCGCACCAAGCCGTATTCAACCGCACTCTACCACACACACTCACCACATAGCCGCCCGATACTACGACCTTGCCATCGGTGTAGCGCGAGTGGAGGTTGCTGGCTGCCACTGAGAGGGCGAGAAAACTAATGCTACTCACCAACACCACACAGCACCGCACTAAACGGCTTTCAATTGCGCACTAGCACACTCTACCACACACACTCACCACGTAGTCACCCGAGACGATGACCTTGCCATCGGTGTAACGTGAGGGAGGGCTGCTGGCTGCCACTGTGAGGGTCTGACGGGGGAGGGAAGTGGGTGGGTGCGAGGTAAATTGGCAAGAGAGGGTGGGTGGGTGGGTGGGTGGGTGGGTGGGTGGGTGGCTTACGATGCAAAGAAAGGTGTACCCACCCACTTCCACAGGGGTGTTCGACTTGCTGGAACAAATGTCTCACCCCCACCTTAATCACTCCCTGCAATACGGGATTCATCGAGGGATACGAGGGATTCATCCCTGCCCATACGAATTGTACCCACATGGAAGCAGTTTTGAGTCGACTCAAAACTAGGCCCACACCTTAATCACTCCCTGCAATACGGGATTCATCGAGGGATACGAGGGATTCATCCCTGCCCATACGAGGTGTACCCACATGGAAGCAGTTTTGAGTCGACTCAAAACTAGGCCCACACCTTAATCACTCCCTGCAATACGGGATTCATCCAGGGATGCTGCCCATACGAGGTGTACCCACATGGAAACACACGCTGCTCCGATCCCCGTCGTGCATGTATGCACTACAAACATCACATGTGTATTGAGGAACACGAGGAGCACTCAAGGCACCCAATGGCTGATGCAACACATGACTCACCCCCAGCAGCATGGGGTTCAACCCGGGGGGTCGCCCGTACAGGGTACCTGCAGGGAAGCACACAACGTGCCGATCCCCATCGTGCATGCACGCACACCTGAGATTCACACTGCATACATGGTGTAACAATTGACTCACCCCCAGGAGCACGGGATTCATCCAGGGGTGCCGTCCATACGAGGTACCCGCATGGAAACACACGCCGTTCTTATCCCCGTCGTGCATGTATTGAAGGACGCGAGGAGCACTCGAGACACCCGCCAACAGCCGTTCAGCAGCCAGCAGCTTTTGCGTGAGCAGCTGCTGACTCAACTGAGGGCCATCGGCCTTTCGAGATGCCCCAAAGCCAAACCCTCTGGAAGCATTGCTCCTCTCCCTCCCCCCCCACCCATCTTCAACTCCTGCCATCGGCGTTCCCTCCCTCTCTGTACAGTCACCGACCCCCCCTCCTAGTGCTCTGGAATGAGGCGGCACTCTTTCCCGTTCGATATAGTCACACTTCACCCCCTCCTCTCGGCTTGCAGTGTCTGCTACCCCCGCTGTTATTCCACCCGCCTCCATCCTGTCACTAGCTGCCAAAGAAACCCGACCGGGCGGCATGGATTCGTCCCGACATGTCAACCCCCTCCCTGTCAACCTTTGCTTATCAGTTGTCTTCTCTTCCACATGATTCTCGTCACCCATTCTCTTCAGCCCTCGCTCCTCCCCTCGCTCCTCCCCTCGCTCCTCCCCTCGCTCCTCCTCTCGCTCCTCCACTTGCTCCTCCCCTCTCTCCACACTTTGCATAAACCCCCCAACCACATTGCCCCCCTCTCTCCCCTCTCCCCCTTCACAGTCTCTTCTCTCTTCCAACTTGTGAGCCATCTCAAGATTCTCACCTGCTCTCTTCCTCCACCCATCCGCTCCGTCTTGCCTTCCCCGATTCTCCCTGTTTCGCCGCCGTCCCCCCTCTCCCCCATCTTCCACCTCACCATCTCCTCCCTCCCCCGAGTTTTCAAATGTCTTTAAACTCTCCCCCGCTCTCTTTCCCCTCTGATCCTCCCCTTCCATCCCATCCCACCGCTCTCCATCCCCAGCCACCCCTCCCTCTCCTACTTGCTCCCTATCCCCCTGTCTCAACCCCACACACATGCTTCGACTAGGCTTCTGAAATAATGCAGCCCCTTTTTCCAGCACCTCACCCCCTTCCCTTGCTGCACCCGCCCCATGCGTGTGTGCCTGAGCACCCCTCTCTCTCGCCACGCACCCCTCTCCACAGCTCTCAAGAGACCACGCCCGCCGCACAGCAGCCGCCGAGCCTGATGGCCAGGGTCGGGACGGGAGGTCCGGGGACGCAAAACGGACGATCCGACGGCCGAGATCTACCTGGATATCATCCGACTGAATCGAATCTAACCGGGCAGAATTGGAGTGGGGTTGGTGGGCCAAGAAGGAGAGACTTAAAGCATGCCCATAATAATCGGGGGGAGAGAAACCGTGAGAGAGACTGTGGGAAAATGTTTGGGGAAGGCTGTGTGAATGTTGTTTGCCTGTTTGTGATTCAAATGTCTCAGAATTTGAGAGGTGGTGTGCGGTAAAGGAGAGGGAGGAGGAGTGGGGATGGTCTTGTGATGCCCTGGGTGCATGGGTGTGTGGGTTGCGACGAGCAATTTCCTTGACAGCCTGAAGGGCGAGAGAAGGGGAGTGAAGGAGAGAGGAGGGGAGGGGGGAGGTGGAGAGAGAGGATGGGCGAGGCAAGGAAAATGCGGGAAAATCCACGACAACACACGGAGAAAGATTTGACAACTAGACTGGTGGAATTGGGAAAGAGCTCGAACATGAGAAGTTCAGAGGTGATGCCATCCTAGTGGCAAAAGGGTGCACGAATTCAGGGAAACGTACGGATCGGCGAATGGTGGGAAGCCACGTGGCAAGTAGGCTGTCCCTGAGCCTGACGAGGAGCGAATCAGGCAGCGACATGAACTGCACGTGCTGCAGCAACCCAGAAACTTCGTCATCCTCCTCCTCCTCTCCTTCGTCCTCATCACCCTCCTTCTCTTCTATCCCTTCACTCTCCTCCTCCTCCTGCCCCCCCCCTTGTAGCATGGGCTCAGCCCCTTCCAGCTGTAGCCGGCCCAAAAGATCGGCTTGAATGAGATCTTCGATACCAGGAGCCTCTGCTACAGCCGGATCCTCCCCCTCCTCCTCCCCCTCCTCCTCCCCCTCCTCCTCTCCCTCCTCCTCCCCCTCCTCCTCCCCCTCCTCCTCCCCCTCCTCCCCCTCCTCCCCCTCCTCCCCCTCGTCCCCCTCGTCCCCCTCGTCCCCCTCCTCCCCCTCCTCCCCCTCCTCCCCCTCCTCCCCCTCTCTCATCATCATCTCCCTCACTGCTCGCTCCGCCTCCTCCCAGCTGCTGACGTCAGCACGCTGCATGGCCCACGTCAGCACAGCGTCCAGCACTCGCTCCTCATTGGCTGTCCAAAAGAAGGGGCTCTGATAGGCGGACATTAGGTTACCAACCGGTAACCGCACAACAGTGGTGGTGAGGTAGTGGGAGATTAGAAGGAGAGACAGGGAAGGGAGGGCGAGCAGGGGTTGGGTTCATGGAAAGATGCCTCCAGGTAGAATGATTGGATTCGAATAAATGTGGGTGTAAGAGCAGAGAGGCATTGCGGCACACCTGCAATACAGCCGTGAGCGCACCAGCAGGCAGCCCTCTCAGCCCGTCCACATCAGCATCAACGCACCGCTCAAACCGCGCCGCGGCCAATGAGGCGGCGACAGCTGTCAGGTGAGAGCAGGCTTCCCCAGGAACTGATGCAGCAACTCGCAGTGTGGTGAATGCTGATGACTGGACAGGGGAAAAAGGAGAGTGAGTTAAGAGGCAAAGGAAGATGAGCAAAAGGAGCCATGGGAGCTGTCAGGTGCGGGCAGGCTACACACACGCTAGCAGCCAGTGGCTGCAGGAGATAATCGCACTCACCTCTCACGGCAAAGTCATGTCGCTGTGACTGCCAGTGGTTGCCATGTTACCAAGAGATAATCGCACTCACCTCTTCAACACACGTCAGCAGTCGCTCATTCACTGAGTGGTGGAGAGCTGGGATGCAGAAGCGGTCAGCCAGACACAGCAGCGACAGCAGCACGCCCTGAGTGCTCTCAGGTGCTGCTGCTGATGCAGACTGTGACTGTGACGGGGATAGGCGTGATTGTAATGAGGGTGACTGTAATGGTGGCGACTGTAATGGGGGAGACTCCAATGGGGCGGACTGAAATGTGGGCGACTGCGACGGGGGTGACTGTTCTGAGAGTGACTGTATCAGGTGTTTCCGTTGAGAATGTGACAAGGGAGTGTGGGGGAGAGTGTGGGGCAGCTTTCCGGTATAGAAGAAGTACAGGAGAGCGGCAACGGCTTCATTAGAAGCACCTCCTATTACAATCTCGTGCGAGGTGGCTTCTCGCATGCCACTAGTCAGCATCTGATGGACAGCGTAGGAGCGAATGGGGGTGGAAGGAGGTTGAGAATGACCCCTTGGCGTTCCGTATGCCAGGAAAACTTTTTTCTTATAAAAACAGCATTACAAGCACAAAGAGCTGAGGAAGAAGGGAGCGGGAGGGTATACAACAGGGAGCAAGGAGCAAAGCAGAGCAGGGAGCAGGGAGCAGAGAGCAGGGAGCAGGGAGCAGAGAGCAGGGAGCAGGGAGCAGAGAGCAGGGAGCAGGGAGCAGGAAGCAGGGAGCAGGGAGAGCAGGGAGCAGGGAGAGCAGGAAGCAGGAAGCAGGGAGCAGGGAGCAGGGAGCAGGGAGCAGGGAGCAGGAAGCAGGGAGCAGGGAGAGCAGGAAGCAGGAAAAATACTCGCCTTGTGAAAGGCGGCACTCCAGGCACAGAGCACCACTCGGTGCACTCGAAACACAATACTGCTGGACTGCGCCGCCCGCACGCTCACATCACTGTAGCTGCAGGAATCATGTTGACTGTGAGTATGGCCGTGTCCGACTGCATTGCTGGCTCTTGGAATCGGCTCCGTAAACTCTCTTGTGTCTCTCGCCTCTCTACCGTCTCTCACCTCGCTCCCTCCTCTCGCCTCTCTACCGTCTCTCACCTCGCTCCCTCCTCTCGCCTCTCTACCGTCTCTCACCTCGCTCCCTCCTCTCGCCTCTCTACCGTCTCTCACCTCGCTCCCTCCTCTCGCCTCTCTACCGTCTCTCACCTCGCTCCCTCCTCTCGCCTCTCTACCGTCTCTCACCTCGCTCCCTCCTCTCGCCTCTCTACCGTCTGGCGCCTCGCCCCTGTTCAATTCAGCCCCTGAAGAAAAACCCATGTGACTGCCACCACAGCAGTCGCATCGCAGGTGTTGAAACAAATGACGGTCGGGCGTAAGCAAATGGGTCGGAACCCCGGCTGCTTCACCAGAAGGGATCGGACCTGCACTTGCAGTTGCAGGTGCGCTTGAATTCAGGCTTCCGCCTGCAGTTACACCTGCCTCTGTGTTTCCACCTGAAAAACCACCTGACCGAGCGCCTGAACTCACATAATCGCCTTGCCTCAACCATCTGCTCCCCTGCTCCTCAACAGACAGCCCTTGGGAGCAGAGCTGCTGCGAAGCGGATTGATTCGACTGATTCCCGTTTCTAAAGGCGGGTCCATCTTCGCCTGTAAGTCCCAAGAGACCCCCACCACTTCTGAGGTTCGTTTTCTGTTGGCCCAAGGCATGCTCCCGCTGCCGCTGACTCCTGCCGACTGGGTAACACAGACACACTACCCTGTTAACCTGCATTGACTGTGAAGCACTCATTGACTTGGCTGACTTGGCTGCATCCCCGTTCCCAGCGGCTGTAGCATTGGGAGTAGTGGCCCTTCTCTCTGCTGCTACAGCCGCAGAGGCGCCAAGCACTAGGTTTTCCTCTGTGGCACAGGATCCCATAGCGCTCTGTCCAGATGCAGAGTATGTGCTCGCGTGGGCGGGTGCAGATGCGGAGTATCTAGATCCATGCCCATCCAGTGCTGCTTCACACGCCTGCTGCAATTCTTGCGCCCCTAGCTGGTGCGCGAGAGAGAGGAGGGGGCGGACGAGCGAGATGGGCACCTGCAAAGGAGGGATGGTGAGGTGAGAGAATGGGTGTTAGAACAAGTAAGGGCGATAGCTGAGGGCGTGTTTGCTGCAGCTCCTGCTCCCCCAACTGGTGTGCGCGAGAGAGAGGAGGGGATGGACGAGCGAGAGCGGCACCTGAAAGTTGAGGGAAAAGAAAGAGAATGGGTGATGAGACAAGGGGAAGGGCGACATGTGAGGGCGTGCTTGCCGCAGTTCCTGCGTCCCCAACGGGCGTGCTTGCCGCAGTTCCTGCGTCCCCAACTGGCGTGCGAGCGAGAGGAGAGGGTGGACGAGCGCGGGGGATACCTGAAGGGGAAGAGGGGAAGAAGAAAGGGAGAGGAGAAAATGGCATGAGGAAGAGAATCCGAAGAAGAGCAGGAGGGAGGCCTGAGACGTCTCACGAGCAGAAAGAGGTTTAGGGGTGAACGTGAGGCAAGCAGACCACAGCTAAATTTGCTTAGGAGGAGAGGTAGGTAGAGATAAGAGGGGAGAGAGGAGAGAGGAGAGGTAGAGACAAAAGGGGAGAGAGGCGAGGGAGAGACAAAAGGGGAGAGAGGAGAGAGGAGAGGGAGAGACAAAAAGGGAGAGGGGAGAGAGGAGAGGGAGAGACAAGATGGGAGAGGAGAGAGAGAAATGGGAGAGACAAGAGGGGAGAGGGGAGAGAGGAGAGGGAGAGACAAGGGGAGAGAGAAGAGGGAGAGAGAGGGGGAGAGGGGAGAGAGGAGAGGGAGAGACAAAAAGGGAGAGGGGAGAGAGGAGAGGGAGAGACAAAAGGGGAGACGGGAGAACAGAGAGGGAGAGACAAAATGGGAGACGGGAGAGAGGAGAGGGAGAGAAAAAAGGGGAGAGGGGAGAGAGGAGAGGGAGAGACAAAGGGGGAGAGGGGAGAGAGGAGGGGGAGAGACAAGAAGGAGAGGCGAGAGAGGAGAGGAGAGGGAGAGGGAAGAGAGGAGATGAGAGAGGAGAGGGAGAGGGAAGAGAGGAGATGACAGAGGAAAGGAAGGGATGAGTGCGAGTAGATTTAGCTATAGGAAGAGCATCACCTCAAGTCGCCCCATGTAGTAGAATGTGAGGAGCAGCAGAAAGAGGTTGGGGTCAACGTGAGGCAAGGAGACCACTGGTAGCTTCTCTTCACCCTGCTGCTTCTGCAGTGAACCAGGAGACTGAAGTGAGCTGGGTGGTGGTCGTGCTACTGCTGCTGCTGTTGGCAATCTTCCGTCCCCCACACTGGCCATATTGGCACCATCACTCCCTGAAACGGTTGAAACACCTCCCACCGATAACCCACCACACCCCTCAGAACCGTACCTCCTGCACAAGGCTCCAAAGCCTGGCCATGCCGCTGCTAAGACGACGCGATGGGCGGGGAACTGGCGAGATAAGGAGGAAGAGGGGGCGGCAGAGGTACCCTCAGTCTCCCCCTGTGCTGCGCTCACTTCACATGTGACCAACAGAGGTCCCATCAGAGACCCTGTCCCTCTGTCTTGCCTGCCTGCATCAGCACTAACAGCCCCATCGTCTCCCCCAACGGCAAAAACGATATCTGAAAATTCGTACGAGTTGACCAGAGACGCCCAGAAGCCACGTGGCGACGAGCCATTGGTGCTGTCAAGGTTGACTCGGCTACAACTGGGGTGACTGTAGCCGATGGTGCCACTTCTGCTGCCATACACACTCTCACTGCTATGATCTAGATTCCACTTGCTGCTGCTGCTGCTGCTGTTGCTGCTGGGGCTGCCGTTACCATTTCTGCTGCATGTGCTGCTGTTGCTGTTGTTTCTGGTGCTGGTGGTACTGATGATGCTGCTGCTGTGAATTAAACAGCCTTCCCTGCCTCTTCCCCCCATACTTTCCCACACAGACCTCGGGATCCTTACATGTGGTAACACGCGGATGTTCCTATATCCAACGTGCTTATCCCACGTGCTCAGCCCGACGAACCTAACGTCCAGGTTCGGGTTGCGGTCCTTGTATAAGAGTACCACCCGCCTGCCAGGCTCGGCACCCAAGCCTACAGCGATCTGGCCATCCACCACGTTTATCCAAAAGGCTCGAAATTCCGACGGGGCGATCGCCATGTGAGGCCCACCGCCGTCTACAGTATCTACACCGCTATAATGACATACAGTACGATCACTTTTAGAACCTAAAAGCCTTGCAACGAATTGAAACGGCAAGTGAGCGAAGCTGGCCAAACTGCCATGGCTGCTACATGTAAAGCACGTGCAATACAATCTGCTTTTGCTGCTGCAGCTGCTAATCTCGTTCCTCCTGCCGCCGCCACTGCTGCCGCTGCCGCCGCTGCTGCTGCTGTTGGAACCAATCCTGTTCTTCCACGTGGCAGTCCCTCCGCCAATACCAGACTGCAAACACTCAAAATTAGTCGTTTCAGCCACAGCTACCCCATCAACCTCCAGCTTAAGCCGCCTATTCCTATGGCTGCCGAACACGACCGTGTAATTCCGACCCGCGTCCGTCCGATAGTGCCGGCTGCCGTCGCGCGTGTCCTTAATCACCACCGTCGCGTCGTTCTCGCCTCGCACCTCCAGGACCACGCACCCGCGGCCCGGCCGGCCGAACTGCAGGCCGGCGCCGTCCAGCCACGCGCATTCGAACGGCGGCACGACGACGACGCTGTTAGGCGCCACGCGCACAGCCGTCGCAGACATGTCGAGTATTAAAAGAAATATCTGTAAAATAACGGTCAACCACGCGCAGTCACTACGACGACGATGCAGGTAACAAACTAACTGTGTAACCAGCAGCACCGGCCTCGCTGTGATTCTATTCTGGAATATTACATATCACGCTACTTGACTACAAAAAACGCGAGCTCGACGTCAGGGAGTTTCGCGAACACGCGGGTTTAGCACAGTGAAGATGGGAACCGCGGCTCGTACTGACTCGATCTTCAACTCTGTGAGTACTTACGTTACGAACATGGTGAATATGATGTGGAACCTGGAACTAAGAGGTGTATAATTTTTAATGCTTAACGACTGTCAACGGAACCGTTTAGTCCGTAGTACGCCCGAAGGTACGGCGATCCATGCTCGCTTCCCCAATCGCTCGATTATGACTCCTGCAACTGGTCCTGACTTTCCTGGTTTTGGCGGGCAAACTTCAAGGCACAACCTGTCAGTCTCTAGGTCTGCATGGCAATCTCGGTGCCGCACTACTTGCTGCTGCTGCTTTTCAGTTCCCTCCTGAATCACATCCCAAGACGAGGAAGAGAGCGATGGAATTATCCCCGTTTTGGGGTTTCCCAATAGCATGATAACGTGGTGATAATGTTATATTGTAGGTAGTGCCTATACCGAAGGCATGGCATGACGGGGATCACGCGTGAACCACGGCTGACGAGCTGCTGGTTTGGCAGTGACTGGCAAGAGATGACGTGTTGGACAGTGCCATCAAACATGGGACGTGGGCGACGGAAAAATGATGTAACATTACGCTTCGCACAATCATTTCGCCTTGCAGGTTACAAGTTACAGATTACACTCATATTTCAGACCCTCAAAGACATTGAACATATAAATTGCCAGCTCCCAAAACTCCTGCCGTCGCAGACGCCATAACACCTGCGACTCGCCACGCATCAGCAATATCTCCTGAAGCATATGACCTTCGCCAGAAACTCGCTCAAATTCATTTGGCTCCTCTCCCCCATGACCCGTCCCCCACGCCAGTTCACAAGGGCCCATCACCCTCGCTTGTTCACCAGTGCCAGAGGAGAGGGCGAGAGCACCGCCAGAGGTTCGTTGGTTCATGTACCAACCCCTCCAATTCCCCTGCATCGTACTCGACCGTTTTATCAAACACAAGTCAATCCTTGTGACAAGGTGTGTGTAGTATGGATGGCATCTCCCCTTCCCCGCCACTCCCTCCCCTTCCTCTCCATTCGACAGCCACACACGTTGCCTGCCCACCTGTCTGAGGCGGGACAAAATCGCCTCACTTGGTTTGCGCATGCGCCTGATAAACTAGGGGGCAGTGTTCGGGTTTCGTTGGAGAGCCGTTGAAGGAGAAACATTTGCTGCTACTGTACGGAACGGAGAGGATCCTCAGCAAAGCAGTTTCTAGCATATTCGAAGAACCTTTCAAAATCGTGAACTCCGCATAGACAAAACGACCTTGGAACATAGTCTCTCCGTAGGCGAGAGAGCTACTATTGAATAGCTCGCACCATGGCTCGAATGGTTCCACTCTCCGTCCTCGCCCTTCTCGCACTCTTGTCAACCTTCTCGCACCCTCGCACAGCACTAGTCGCCGCCGTCTCAGGCAGACGGCAACTAGCGACACCAGCTGCCGACAGCTTTCAGCTGACCGGCGACTCCGGTTTTCACGACGGCGAGTATGACGGTTTAGACGACACGGGGCTGCTGAATCTCTCTGAGGCGGAGCAGGCAGACTTTCTGCGGCAGTCCGAAGCTGAAGAGTCCGACTTCCTGCAGTACGATTCCGAAAGTGTGCCGATTCAGCCCAACAACGCGCAGCGCGCGGCCCTTCTCTCACTCAAGACCGCCTGGGGCTCCGATTTTTTCAAGGCGGAAACGTGGTCGGATGCGGAAGGGGAGCACCAGTGGTGGGGGGTTACTGTAGACTCTGAAGGTGACGTCGTGGCCTTGGAGTTGCCGAACGCGAATTTGGAAGGCGAAATTCCCGAGGAGCTGACGAAGTTTCATGATCTCGCGACGCTGGATTTGCGTGGGAACAAGCTTACTGGAAGCATCCCTCAAGGAATATTTTCCAGCTTGCCATCACTGCAGGATATCTACTTGAGCGATAATCTGCTGCAAGGGAAGGTTCCCTGGATCGAGTTCTTTTACTCTAATGAATCCAAGGTGTCGACTCTCAGGCTTGATGGGAATAGGTTTTCGGGCAAGATTCGTCCCAAAGCTTTCGATAACGCGACTTCACTTCAGGCTCTCTTTTTGGGCAACAACAAGTACTACGGGAAGATCCCACGGAGTCTCGGCAGCTGCAAAGAGATATCCGTCATCGATTTGAAAAACAACGAGTTTTCGGATCTGATGCCGACTACTATCGCCGATCTTCCCGGTCTTGAAGTGTTGGACGTTAGCGGGAACAAGCTGACCGGACCGATTCCCAACTTCCTCGGGCGACTCCCCAGTTTAGTCAACCTCGACTTAAGCAATAATCAGTTTTCTGGCCTTGTACCGGATTCATTCAAACTGTTTTCGCACAAGGCGCGCGCGGTGAAAATTGGAGACAACTTTCTGACTGGGCCTCTGCCTCAGTTTCCCCGCTTCTCTAAAGGCTGCGGCATTAACGGTGTAGGAGGCTTGGACACCACATCGTGTTACATGCTTCGGTCTCTTTTGGATTTTGAGGGCAACTTCTTTTACGGAAATTACTCGCTGGACATTCAGCTGCCCGGCTCGGAGAACCTTCCTGCCATGTCAACAGTCTGCCCGTACGAGTACCCTGAAAGCATCTACGTCAACGATAACTGCCTGAGCTCCACGGATTTGTGCGAAGTGGAGAAGCAGCGGCCACCTAAGGAGTGCGATGAGTTTTGCGGGACCGGCAGTCCCGAGGGGCAGTGCGGGGGAAAGGGGGTTTGTGTGCTGAACCACTTGGAGGGGAGTGGCCAGAAATTTGTTTGTGAGTGTGAACCGGGGTTCCTCCCCATGGGCAACCCTTCCACTTGCGTGAAGGGCTGAAGGGGGTGCGGGAAGCAAGGGGTGGTGGTGAACATGGGGTGTTTGTGAGAATGGCGTGGGAAGGGTGTGTGTGGGAGCTTGGGGGTCTGGTGTCATGACTTCCATATTTGCAAGAGCAGCAATTACACGGCCTATTGGGTGTGTGAGTTCCCAATGGATGAGGGGGGGGAAGAGGTGGATGAGTGAAGTGAGTGGCATCTAGGTTCCTGATGCCCTTGACACATTGTGCATAGAGTTTATGTTTGTGCATTCAGTATTCCAGGTCTAATTTGTTTGTATTATGAAGAGGCTTGGTTGACAAGCTCTAAGCCGGTAGATTGAAAAAACATGAATCCTATATCTATTATTTTGCACATCCGGCCCAGAACAAGAAACTTCAGCATATGCTTGTGGGGTGAGCAAACGCGACGAGTTGACTGTACCGCGAGAAGGCAGTACTGTGCGCGCACCAGCCCTTCCCTCGGAGTTATTCCATGACCTCCCAGTGCTGCTGTTTCATTGGTCCAAACTTGTCCCTCGAGGCTGTTCCATTTCATGTACACTGCATACCCGTTGTGGAGTAACAGAATCCTCCAAGGAATCTTTGCAAAGAGCACGCCATCGCCAAGCAAGCAAGCTTGATACGGTAGAACAGGAGAAGCTGTTTTGGCGGGTGCTTTGTTCGACTAGTGTCAGACTCAGAAGTCAGAACTCGAGTTGAAGCTTTGTCTGTCGAGGTCGAGTTTCGTGAAAGGTCTACAGCGTAACACCCTGACTCGGCTTCCGTGTTTCTTGCTCCTGTTGTCACAAGCTCCCACTGGCGAGCTAGTTACGGGCCCATTCGTCTTTTCATAAATATGAGTCGGCATCCCGTCCCTCGATAGGTTCTCAAAGACACGTCGGTCTGTCGCGTTGATAGAAGCCTCTCGCGTAGGTTGTATTTCGTTTCTGCACCCGGACGCAGGGAATTCCTTCCTTCAGTACAGAAGCGCCACGAGCATTGGGAATGGTTAATCAGGCCTTGTTCTTGTGTAGTTTAGACCTTCTAGAAAGCAGATCCTGATTTAGAAGCTGATTGCGTGCAGCGAGACCGAGGCAGGCTAGGTTCCTTATAGGAGGTTCCGGAAAGAGAACACAATGGCCACCAAACCCCTGACGTTGTATTTGCTCGTTGGTGCAGGTAAGACCTTTGACCTGTGACGACGCAAGGGGTGTCAAAATCGTACCCGTTCATTTATCTGCTCCTTCCTTGAGCTCTGAGCTTCGAGAATTTCCGAGCTCTGTTTGTCTTTGGCTTCCTCGATATGGTCAACGAAGTTTGTAAACAGATTCGGGCCTTGGACTTCTTACACCAATCGATCTGAGCAGCTCGTTTCCCGATCGAACTCTTTCTTCCGCGTTCAACCTCGTTGCCATTCGTTGCGCCGGCTGCCGGCTTACGCTCGTATTCGTCATTCGTTACGCGCAGGTGTAGCTGGTGTAAGCATTCTCGGTCCCGCCAAATTCGCGGATCTCCTACGCGATATTACTCGGGTGCGTGCCTCTCGTCCATCCCTGTACGCGTTATCGTCATCATTCGTGACGGATTAAAAGGTTGTTCCGTTGTCTTCTTTCCTGGTAATCTACTCAACTTCTCGCGATCTTTACCTTCTTCTCACAACCTCGCCCTCACGCATTTGACTTCTGGCCCTCCCTCTCTCGTACTTGCCGTGCCTGTCTCGATCTTACGCTTCATTGTGAAAGTACCTTTCTTCACCGTAATCTGCTTCCAACGAGCCTCTTTCAACCGCAGTCCACCTTCAATAATCTCTTTAGCAAACCTTTGGACGTTCCCCCCCCTTCCCCGCCGCCTTCTCTTCTTCAAACGCCTCGCAGCCTGTTTGATCACTATGCGCTTTAGTTGGCAATAGCTCCCCCTTGAATAAGCCACCACCCCTCCCCCCGCCCACTGCTCCGCCTCGTTCATTGGTTTCCTTCCTCAACTTTCCTCCCGCCTTTTGTGCTTCTCCTGCCCGTTCTCCATCCTGTTCATTCCGGGCAGGTGGTATCGAAGCACCTGAAGTCGATAGAGGATGGATCCGACAGCAAGAGAGACCACACAGATGACGTCAACATGGCACTCATCGACCAGGTACGGTGTCCTGCCTCCTGCATTGATCTACCAGGTATGAACCTGCAGCAACCTGCTACTGCTGCACTGATGGACCAGATCAGGTATGGTGCTGGAAGACGTTGATGATGGATGAGACAGCAAGAGAGACCACACAGATGACGTTAACATGGCACTGATCGACCAGGTATGGTGTCCTGCCTCCTGCTGCTGCTCCTCCTCCTCCTGCTGCTGCTACTGCTGTTGTTCCTGTGCTGCTGCTGCTGCTGCTGCTGCTGCCGCCGTCGCACTGATCGACCAGGTGTGGTGTCCTGCTGTTGCTCATCCTCCTGCTGCTGCTGCTGCTGCTGCTTCTGCATTGGTCGATCAGGGTACATTGTTACTGCTGTTTTGGTGGGCGGGGGTGGTTCTGTTTTTCTGCTCTCGCTTTTTTATGAGGCTCTTTATCTGAGAGGAATCATTTAGATTGTGTCAACTTGGCTGTTGTGATCCACCCCCCCAATTCGTTTCATTTTGTCCTTCAACAACTCTCCTTCCCCACACCCTCCTCCCCACTTCCCCCGCTTTTTCACACTTTCCTCCCTCCTGCATGTCTAGCATAGAAGCCGATGTTTATTGACCTGCATTTGACGTCAACAGCATTTCATCCCTGTCGTTTGCACCCATGTCATTGGAACCTTCCTCGCAGGTTCACAAGCTGAGCCTGCAGGTGCAGCAGCTCTCCACCAGCTCTCGACCAATCACAGTCGTCAACGCTCCACCTGCACAAGAACGAGGTAAGGAGGTTCTATAGGAGGTGTAGGTGATCGAGTAAGAGGTGAGGTGCGGAGGTGCGTCTCACATCTTACTCGTACCTCCACAAAATCCACAAAATCCACAAAATCCAAAAGATGGAGGTACGGAGGTTTAGTTAAATGTTGCCGCCTCTAATCTGTGACATCTAATTAGCACGTTGCATCTGTCATGACGTATAATTCGTTTTGTGTGCGTCCTGATTTTCTGTTTGCCCCTTGTGGCCGTTGCATGTGTGCAGGGGGGAGCATTGTGGGATATGTGATACCTGTGGCAGTCATTGGTGCGGCAGGCTATGGAGTCATGTGGTGGAAGGTGCGTGTGTGTGCGCGATGGTACTGTTGGCATGGTGGTGGTGACATGACATGACATGACGCGGCATGATGGTGCTGGCATAGCACAACGTGGCATGGCGGTGTTTGTGTGTGGGTGCAGTGGAGGGAGCATCGTGGGGCATGCAGTGCCGGTGGCTCTTACTGGTACGGTCGGATATGGGGACTTGTGGTGGAAGGTGTGTGTGTGTGTGTGTGTGCAATCATGGACCTGGGATGGTGTGGTGTTGGCATTGCATGGCATGGCATGGTGGTGTTTATGTGTGTGGGTGCAGGGAACATTGTGGGATGGCAGTCATTGGTGCAGCTGCTGTGTGTGTTGTTACGAAACTAGTGCTTATCCGGCAGGCTATTAGTGCATGGCGCGGAGTGGAGTCTTCCTTGCAACGGTGTGGTTTGAGCTTTGTGTTGAGCAGCAGAGGACAGCACGGTGCCACCATCAGTTTCTACCACTCGCTGCACGAACATCAGATTCGCGAACCCCCCCTTCCCCCGACGTGCATTTCCGCCTCCCCACCAACCCAACTTCCCGCCTCTTCGCCAACCTCACATTCGCGCTTGTGCTTCTCCCCAGCCACTTTTCGTGACCTTCCTCGCTACACCAACTTCTTCCCTGAAACAAAGACTACACTTTCCACCTCATTTCTTATGCTTCCTTTACCTCCAAAATCATTTTGCTTGCCACCAGCCCAATTCCTTGCAGAATGACAGGCCGCAAAAGGGGTCGTGGTGCCCAAGACTCTGAACCCACGTCTCCTCGCCCGCCTGCCCGTTCGCGACAAACCCCAGCCTTTGCGATTCTTTCGACCTCCTCATCAAGCCTTGCGCCACTCCCTACTCCTAAGCCTCAATCATCTTCTGCTCCCTCCCAGCAACCTCAGCCAACAACAGCACCAAAAATTGTCTCGGAGAAACAAAAGGAGATTCTCCAGCACGTCCTTAAAGCCACCCTTCCTGACTCTCCGTCTCCATCACGGCCTCAAACCTCTCACCCTCAGCCCTCGACGTCCCGTGCCCATCCTTCATCTACCTCAACACCTCCACCGACGACTACAGCAGATGCTCCTGTTCCCACAGCCCCTGCCGACAACACGCACCCACTATCACACTATGAAACTGCTGCTTCACCTTCTCGAGATCCCCCTCCTCCTTCACCTACTCCTCACTCTACGCAGCCATGCCCGCAACCCTGCCCGCCCTTATAAACCTCCGATAACCCACTACCTCCTAATTCTTGCCTCACATGTCGACGCACCTTTGCCAACTCACGTTCGCTGGCCCGTCACCTTCCAGCCTGCTCTCGCAACACCGCCACACGTCAGCAAGCTGCTCGGCCTCCTCCCCCCCGCTCATCAGCCCCAACCTCGGCGCCTGCAGCCGTAGATCGACCTGCAATTCCTCAAGCCACTTGGGAGGCCGTTCCTTCCTGGGATTGGCCTTCCTTCTTCAGCCCAGCAGTCTCACCTGGCCCTATTCTCCGCCGAATCCCCTCCCGCATCCGACTCCTCATTCTCGATGCACTTCTCATTCCACTGCGCCGCCTTGCACAGCATCCTTCTGACATCGCTGCACATCTCATTCTCTTGGCATTTCCGCGTCTCCTGCTGCGCCTACCATCTGCCGCTGCTCCCACACAGCCCCTTACCTCTTCATGTGCTGCCTTAGCGCGCCGCTTCATCACTGGTGACTGGCACTCTCTTTTCAGCGAAGCCGTAGCTGCAACCACTCCAGCCGCTAGACCTCTGCACATGGCTTCAGCACGTTCTACAGCGCAGCAGGCTCGTCTCAACCGTGCGAAGCGGTTTGCGAAATGCGGGGATTGGTCGCGGTCACTGGCAGCACTGGAAGCTGCCGAGCTAGCTCCCCCATCATCAGAAACAGTTGTTGCCCTCAGCTCCAAGCACCCACCTGCTGCAGCGGAGATTCCTGACTGGGTACATAGCTTCACTCCTGCAGCCGCACCACAGCTCACCGTCCCTGTTCTCCATGCCGCTCTACAGTCCGCCCCCCGTGGCACAGCTGCTAGACCTTCTGGGTGGTTCATTGAGCACCTCAGGGACACGTTTCTTTCTCACCAGCAGCATCTCCCTTCTCTCCTCCACGTATTCCAGAACTGGCTGCAGGGTGACCTTCCACCTGCAGTTAGGCCTTTCTACACCGCTTCGAACCTCGTGGCCCTGCAGAAACCGCATGGTGGTGTACGTCCCATCGCCATTGGGGAAGTGCTACCACGCCTCCTTTCACGCTGCATCACTGTCCTTTTTAAGCAACAGATGCGAGAGACATTCCTTCCTCACCTTCAATTTGGCGTAGCAGTTCCGGCCGGGATCGAGATTATGTCGCACGCAGTGTGCTCCGCCTTCTCCCTTCATCCAGACTGGGTGGTGCTTCAGCTGGACGTTGCAAACGCGTTCAACTCGTTCAACCGGGTTTCCATGTTTGAGGCATTAAGGCGCTCCCCATTCTCCAGTCTCATTCCCTTCTTCCGCCTATTCTACTCCACCCCTTCACCTCTCCACTACCGCAGCGGCCCCCTTCTCCACACATTCCAGTCAGCTTCTGGTGTTCGTCAAGGCGACCCTTGTGGCCCTTTCCTTTATGCCCTAACACAGCAGCTAGCCATCCAACCAACCCAGCAGCAGTCTCCCTCAATTTTCATTACCTCATACGCAGACGATACCTACTTGGTCGGCCCTCCCTCAGACGTCTTTGCCGCATACACTGACCTTACCTCCCGCCTTCTCTCTCTCGGCCTTACAGTCCAACCCTCTAAGTGCTCTTTATGGGCCCCTATGGACCTGCCTGAACACTGCATTCCGCCCCCGGGTATTTCCATCGCTGCAAACGGTCTCACTGTCGCCGGCGTTCCTACTGGCTCCGACGGTTACATCATCTCTACAGTTCGTGACAAACTCGATTCTTTCACTTCCTCCCTCCCCTTACTGCATCAACTGCAGGACCCACAGATTGCCTCACGGATCCTTTCCTTATGCATCACTGCCCGACCTTCTTTCCTCCTCCGAACTGTCGCACCTTTTCCCGAAATCCAAGAGCTACTCTCTTCATGGGACAGCACCATTTTCAGCCACTTCTCTCAGCTCCTGGGCTCTGAGTACTGGAATCCCACCTCTGAACAGTCCACATCGGCCCGCCTCCAAGCCTCGCTCCCTATCCGCTTAGGTGGCTTCGGCATTCGCAGCTCTGCATCCATCGCCCCCCTCTGTTACCTCTGTAGCTGGGCGCAGACAGTTTCGACCTTATCCACCCACTTCATCACTGATGGTGCTCCTCTTTTCCGCCCCTACGTCACCACGGACTCCATTAACCTCCTCGACCCTTCAATCTCATCCACCATGGCTATGCTTCCCCAAGACATTCGTGATCGCTTCCCATCATGGCCTGTGCTTCAATCGGGCTACCCTCCTAAACTCTTTACTCATCTCTCCCAACACCTCAAAGCCGATTTGCTGGAGAAGGTTCGAGCCACAGTAACGTCCCCGCTTCGCCTTGCTCGTCTAACCTCTTTGCAGGGCCCGCATGCAGGTGACTGGCTCACAGTGGCTCCATCCTCCCTGCACATGCAGCTTTTAGAGACTGAATGGCGCATTGCAGCAGCTATCCGCTTAGGCCTTCCTCTCCCTCACCTTTCATCTTCGCTCACCTGCACCTGCAACTCCCCGTTCACCGATCCTTCCATCCATTCTCATGTCCTTCGCTGCCCTAGCAACAACGAGCCTACTAAGGTGCACGACGCAATCAAACGAGAAGTTCATCGCATTGTCTTGGAGCTTGGGTTCTCTGCGCAGATGGAAGACCAGCATCTCCTGCCTGGCCGCCGCACAGACATCACGTGCCGCGACATTAGCTCTGGTACCACTTGGGCCTTGGATGTTTCTGTTGTTGATCCACAAAAGGGGTTTCCGCACTCCAACGCAGCTACGGTGATTGGTTCAGCAGCAGCCACTCGTGAAAGTGAGAAGACCACCCACTATGCTGCAGCACTTCATGACCGTCCAGACATCAAACTGTTTCCCCTTGTCATCGAAACCTTCGGTTGCTTCGGCTCTTCGTTCAACAACTTCCTTCGCCAATGCAGCCGCAAAGGGGCGTCACAACTCCGCGACTTGAGTGGTGCTACAGATTCTCTTCCCCTGCTGTTTGAGACCAACTTCTACAAACGGATTTCTCTGGTCCACCAACGTGAGCAGGCTCGCACTGTTTGTCGTCGTGCACAAATTCGTTTTACCGAGGGCGTCAACCACACACCACCCGAGGGGACTTCTCTTTCTGCAGCTGACTTTGCCTACTTTGGAGAGGACCACTGAGACATCTCAGAGGCCTATTTGTAGGCCTCACAATAGGATTAGCCTGCATGTCTTTCCATGCACTTGGTGTCTGGATTTGCCTTGTATACATTGTACATTTACTATAGTGTCAATAAAGAGGTGGAAGGTGCATGAGTGTGTGCAATCGTGGTGCTGGCACGGTGTGGTGTTGGCATGGCGTGGTGGCAGTGCATAGCATGGTATGGTATGGCATTACATGGTATGGCATGCCGCAGGGTGTGACACCAGTGCACACGACCAGTGCCACCTTCTCTGTCTGTCTGTGTCTCTCCGTGTGCAGGGCTGGCGAGTGAGCGATCTCATGTAGGTGACCAGGAGGGGCATGGACCAGGCAGTGAACCTGATGGGGGACAAGGTAGCAAACCGTCTATCGACCTCCTTCCTCCCTATCCGCCTTCGTTCTCTTGTTGTGCAGGGCTGGCGAGTGAGCGATCTCATGTACGTGACCAGGAGGGGCATGGACCAGGCGGTGAAGCTCATGGGGGCGAAGGTGACGGAGCTGCAAACAGCCCTTGATGTGAGGAGTATGAGCTTCCCAGGCACTTTGGACTTGAGTAGCAGACGTGCAGGCAGGCAGCTGTGGTGTTCTTAGGGAGATGATGTTTTGGAGAAGAGCATTGAAGAGAAGCTGATAATGGCCGAGGGGCTGTCCGCCACTATCCCGTTCTATGTAAGCACAACCCCCCCCCGTCCCCCGTTCCTCCCCCATTCTCACCTGCAGACGGCCAAGAAGCAGTTGGCTGGGCGGCTGGAGGGAGTGTCCAAATCGGTGGCAGAGGGGCTGAAGATGCAGGCGATAATAAAGAAAGATGTAAGGAAATGTGACTGTAAGAAAGGGAGAGCGGTGTGTCAAGGGTGTTTTTTATGGGTGCCCAAGTCAGTGGCTGAGGGGCTGAGATATCCAGGCGATCATAAAGAAGGACGTGAGTGACTGACAAGGATGTGACTGTATCAGAGCAAGTGAGGGGTTGGATGTCTTATAAAGTAGTAAGGTGCGACCAGGAGGGAGGGAGTGTCCAAGTAAGTGGCCGAGGGGCTGAAGATGCAGGCGGTTATAATGAAGGACGCGAGTGGCTCATATAAGGTGTGACTATAATGAAGCGAGGGAGGGCTGGGTATGTTTATAAAGGGTGGTGGTTAGGTGTGACCAGGAGGAAGGGAGTGCCCGAGTTGGTGGCCGAGGGGCTGAAGATGCAGGTGGTTATAAGAAAGGCATGATTGACTGATTCAGGTTGTGACTGTAATGTAGCAAGTGAGGGGCTGAGTGTGCTTCTAACGAAGCAAGTGGAGTAGCTGGGTGTGAAAAGCATTCGGTGAGTCACCCTTTGGGTTTTACTTTTGGGGCACCTTATGATTCGTCTGTCGTGTTGGTGAAGGTCATCACTCAAAGCCCGAGTCTCAAATTGCAAGCCGCGCGGGTCAAGTTTTGAAAACGTGATGCTGAGCAGCTTGCAAACTTGAAGAAGGTGCAGCTGCAATTTGGGACTTTCTAGCTCCTAGCAGGGGAAAGTTGAGGATTGGCTGCGTGTTGCGAAAAAAAACGAAATAGACGAAATTGACCCTCTCTCGCCACAGCCCAAAAACTGAACTACCTCCTCGTCAACCTTTTAAAACATGAACAAATTTGGGCCAACGGTTCAACTTTTGTCCAATGGGCTTATGACAGTCGACTCAGCAGTCACGTAGTCTCAAGATTCTTTGATCCTTGGACTCGAAACTCGAAGAACCGAAGCCCTGAACCCTCTCCGTTCCCCTCCCCTTTAAAATCGTCCCTCGCAGGTTATCGACGTGAAGGAAGTGGTTATCACCTGTGTGATTGTGACCCCAGTCATTTCTAGAGGCTGTTGAACCCGAATCTTAAAGCCTAGCTCCCTTGCTTCCTGCCCTTGCAGGTTATTGAGGTGAAGGGGGTGGTTACCAGTGTGAGTCGAGACCTGGACAACATGCATGGGCTGGTGGAGGGCATGGTGAGTGGAAACGGGGGGGGTGCGGGGTAAGTGGTGCAGGGTTGGAACTGGCACGTGTAGCTTATCCTCGAGTTACCAGTGTGAGTCGAGACCTGGACAACATTCACGGGCTGGTGGAGGGCATGGTGAGTGGAATGTGGGGGCTGCGGGCGGGAATGGGGAGAAGGGGGCTGGGTTGGAGGTATGAAGTAGCACGTGTAGCTTATCCTTGAGTCACGTGTAGCTTATCCTTGAGTCACGTGTGCGAGTCTAAGTTGGATATTACACTTACGTTTACGTACGTTTTACGTTTACGTCTACGTACGTTTTACGTTATGCACGAGGTGCTGGAATGAGGTTACGTTTGCGGGCAGATTTTTTTCCTTCAGCTGCCCGGCTGAAGTAAAAAAATTATGGTATTCGAAATTGGCATTGTTAATTGTATAACATAGAATCTAACAACACAGAATTACTTGTGATGTGTGTTAAGTTTCGCGAGGTGTACAAACCAGCTCGCGCCTTGTCCCAATTTCACGCGATATTGCGTAAGTCAATGCGTTTCCCCAATGCGTTACTCCGAATCAGTCCCCGCTAACCCTCCCAGTCCCACGACGTATGCAGGCTCTAGAGCCTTTAGATTGACGACCTAATGCAACTTCATAGATCTACCATGCTAAACTAAGATCTTAGAACCCATGACCTACCATTTTTAGTTACGACCTTAGTTAAGATCTAACATATTACCAGGCTGTATCTGCTGGTCCGCTGCCCTGAACGGTTCCGCGGCGACATTTCGCCAAAATTTAAGACCGAACGAACGATTCTCCCATTTTTTTTTCCACCGAAATTTTTTACCTGCCCGGACCCAAGTTACGCGTATTTACGCGTACGTAAACGTAAACGTAATGTTACGCGTAACATTACGTTTACGTAGTGCCAGGGACGTACGGACCCATCTTAGGTGCGAGTCAAGAGACCTTGACAACATGCATGGGCTGGTGGAGTGGAGGGCATGGTGAGTGGGAGGCGGGGTTGTGATTGCAGTGGGAGTTTTGTGAAACTTCAAGGCGAAGTCGCTCACCCTCCTCACGCACACGCTCCTCCTCGATTCACGCGGTTTTTATATGGGTAACATTTTCGTTGCATAGATGTGTTTTGTGAAAAAAAACTAAATCTCGCGTAGTTCTTGCAGGGCATTGCCACCCGTGCGTGCTGTTGTTCTCATGTGTCTCTCTGTCACGTGTTGTCTGTGTGTGCCCTCTGCCATGCCATCCTCCCCCTCTGCATTTCTTCACAGGATACCAAGCTGGCCTCGCTCGAGCAGAAGCAGGACATTGCCACATTGCTGCTCTCATGTGTCTCTGTCTTGTGTCTTAAGTTGTAATTCTCCTGCCTGCAACCCCGGGCCTGCAGGATACCAAGCTCGCATCGCTCGAGCAGAAGCAGGACATTGCCACACGGGGAGTGCTGCTGCTGTGCAGCTTTGTGAGCAGAGGGCTGCAGGGCAACCCCGGCAACCAGGAGCTGCTGAAGGTGAGGGGCGTGGGGGTGATGGGGTCAAGATGGGAGGTTTCTCTCTGCAGCTTCGTGAGCAGAGGGCTGCAGGGCAACCCCGGCAACCAGGAGCTGCTGAAGGTGAGGGGCGTGGGGGTGATGGGGTCAAGATGGGAGGTTTCTCTCTGCAGCTTCGTGAGCAGAGGGCTGCAGGGCAACCCCGGCAACCAGGAGCTGCTGAAGGTGAGGGGCGTGGGGGTGATGGGGTCAAGATGGGAGGTTTCTCTCTGCAGCTTCGTGAGCAGAGGGCTGCAGGGCAACCCCGGCAACCAGGAGCTGCTGAAGGTGAGGGGCGTGGGGGTGATGGGGTCAAGATGGGAGGTTTCTCTCTGCAGCTTCGTGAGCAGAGGGCTGCAGGGCAACCCCGGCAACCAGGAGCTGCTGAAGGTGAGGTGGGGGAGTTTTGGTGGATTATGGGGTCAAAGAGTGTGAGTAAGAACAGAGGCGGGCAGTAAGTGGTTTGCTGCTCTGCAGCTTCATGAGCAGAGGGCTGCAGGGCAACCCCGGCAATTAGGAGTTCCGGAAGGTGAGTAGCGGTGGGGTGGGGTTTGGAGGGGCTGATGGAGTGTGCGAGCAAGAGGACATCTCCACTGTGTGAGCAGAGGGCTGCAGGAGAGCCTTGGGAACCAGGAACTGCTGAAGGTGACAAGTGGTGGGAGGAGGGGGGAGGTATATTTGTGCGACTTATGGGAATTCTCAATAGTCGTGAGAATTCTCAAAAGTCGTGAGAATTCTCAAAAGTTGTGAGAATTCTCAAAAGTCGCACGAAGAGGGCTGCAGGAGAAACTTGGGAACCAGGAACTGCTGAAGGTGACAAGTGCTGGGAGGAGGGGGGAGGGGTTGGGCGGATGCGGTTCAGTGGGCGGTTGATGCGGTCCAGTGTGGTGAGCGGTCTATGTCTTTGCAGCTTCCGCTTCCTCTCTTTTTCCATCTACTCAAGTTTCCATATCCCAGGGCGTGGTGGACATGTCACTTGTGGTTGTGCTACAGATTGCCTTTTGAGGCGCCTCAAAAGTCGTGGCGGACATGTCACTTGTGGTTGTGCTACAGATTGCCTTTTGAGGCGCCTCAAAAGTCGTGGTGGACATGTCACTTGTGGTTGTGCTACAGATTGCCTTTTGAGGCGCCTCAAAAGTCGTGGTGGACATGTCACTTGTAGTTGTGCTACAGATTGCCTTTTGAGGCGCCTCAAAAGTTGTGGCGGACATGTCACAGATGGCTGTGCTACAGATTGCCACGGGCAAGGGCATCACGCTCATCTGATCTCCCTTCTTCTCGTCTGGAGCCCATCTACTCTGCTCCCAATGCATCAGGGCCTGGCGCACATGCCGCAGATGGCTGTGCTGCAGAGTGCCACGGGCAAGGGCATCACGCTCATCTGATCTCCCTTCTTCTCGTCTGGAGCCCATCTACTCTGCTCCCAATGCATCAGGGCCTGGCGCACATGCCGCAGATGGCTGTGCTGCAGAGTGCCACGGGCAAGGGCATCACGCTCATCTGATCTCCCTTCTTCTCGTCTGGAGCCCATCTACTCTGCTCCCAATGCATCAGGGCCTGGCGCACATGCCGCAGATGGCTGTGCTGCAGAGTGCCACGGGCAAGGGCATCACGCTCATCTGATCTACCTTCTTCTCGTCTGGAGCCCATCTACTCTTCTCCCAATACATCAGGGCCTGGCGCACATGCCGCAGATGGCTGTGCTGCAGAGTGCCACGGGCAAGGGCATCACGCTCCGGCTCTCTCCTGCCCTCCCTTGTGCTCCCGCCATCTGCTTTCCTCTCATTCTCTCAGAGCCCAGCGGACATGTCACAGATGGCCGTGCCACAGCTCGCCGCGGGCAAGGGTCCAGCTCATTCTCTTTTTCTGTCATCTCCCTGCCTTCCTCTCCCTTCCTCTCTGCCTTCCTCTCTCCCATCCTATCTACCCTCAGGGCCTGGCGGACATGTCACAGATGGCCGTGCCACAGCTTGCCGCGGGGAAGGGCGCGCCAGCAGGGGGGGCAGTGGGGCTATCAGGGCTGAAGGAGCTTGAATTCATCTCGTCTGCTTTGGAATCTTCCGTGCACCATACAGGTAAGGGTGCGGGTGGGAGTGGTGCTTCAGGGGAGGGGGAGGGGAGTAGGGGGGAGATGTGGGCAGTGGTGCTGTCGGGGCTCAAGGAGCTTGAGTTCCTCTCATCTGCCCTCGAGTCCTCTCCTCGGTGCACCACTCTGGTGGGAAGTACTGATGTTACTGCTTGGAGGAGAGGGGGGGGGGGGGGGGGGGATGGGGGGTTCGGGAAGCAGTGGGGCTGTCTGGGCTCAAGGAGCTTGAGTTTCTCCCAACTGCTCTGGAGTGCACCTCTCAAGTGGGGGTGTGGGTGTGCTGCTGGTGAAATTTTTGAGGTGCCTCAAAAATGGGTGTGCTGCTGGTGAAATTTTTTAGGTGCCTCAAAAATGGGTGTGCTGCTGGTGAAATTTTTGAGGTGCCTCAAAAATGGGTGTGCTGCTGGTGAAATTTTTGAGGTGCCTCAAAAATGGGTGTGCTGCTGGTGAAATTTTTGAGGTGCCTCGAAAATGGGTGTGCTGCTGGTGAAATTTTTGAGGTGCCTCAAAAATGGGTGTGCTGCTGGTGAAATTTTTGAGGTGCCTCAAAAATGGGTGTGCTGCTGGTGAAATTGTTGGTAGTGGTGCTTCTGTGGGTGGGTGGGGCAGTGGGGCCATTGCTCTGTCTGCTTTTGAGTCGACTCAAAAGTGGGGCAGTGGGGCAGTGGGGCAGTGGGGCAGTGGGGCAGTGGGGCAGTGGGGCAGTTGCTCTGTCGGGGCTGAAGAAGCTTGAGTTCATCTCGTCTGCCCTCGAATCGTCCGTGCACCACTCAGGTGGGGATGGGGGTGTGTGTTTGGGGCTGCTGCTGCCGCTGGTGGTGGTGTGACTAGTGCTGCATTAGGAGGGGCAGTGGGGCTGTTGGGGCTGAAGGAGCTTGAGTTTATTTCCTTGGCTTTGAAATCCTCCGTCCACCACTCAAGTATTCGTGGAGGTAGGGATGGTGCTTCTGGTGTGGTTGCTGGTCGTTGCGAGTGCTGGTGATACTAGCCAACCATGTCTGTTCACCCCTGCTGTTCTCTCCATTCTCTTCTTCTCCACCAATTCCTCCTCCCCCTCCTTGACCTCTGTTTACCTATCCCTCCATTCACTCCCACTCCGCCCATCCCTTCTCCCTTCCCATCTGTGCCACTGTTTCAGGGAACCTGCCTCTCGATCCTGCCTACACGTACCAACCCACTCGCCAAGCCTCCTACCAAGCCTCCTACCAAGCCTCAACAGCAGGTTTGGAGCGGCAAACCTCTGCATCAGCTACGGCACCGGCCGCAGCAGGAATTGCATCCAGACACTCATTCGGAGCAGGAGGGGCGGCGGCAGCTGCAGCAGCCGCAGCAGCGATTGCTACAGTGTCAGGGAGATCTCGAGGGGACAGTGTATCTGGACTAGGGGTAGGGGTAGGAGGAGGAGGAGGAGGAGCAGGAATGCATGGATTGGGGCCAGAGCGAGGGATGCACGGAGCAGCAGCAGCACATGGTTTGCATACGGCAGCACCTGCAGCAGCACAAGGTTTACATGCATCTGGAGCAACAGCAGAGGCGGCTGTGGTTCAGAGCGTGAGAGAGGCCGGGGATGCGGTGTTGAGGCGAGGAGTGGTGATTGAGGAGGTGGGGGATGGAAGGGAGGGATATGGGTGGCCGCGTCCAGCGAATGAGGTGTCGCCACCTCGTGCTCGTGAAGGAGTACCTGGCGGTTATCCACCAAGGTGTGTCCCAAGTGTGTGTGTGTGTGTGTTTTTTTTTTCTGTTTGTGTAAATTTTATTCTTGTGTTACTGCAAATTATGATGGCAGCTCCTAGCAGAACTGGTTTGGTCAAGCCCCACTTGTGATTCACTCCAATTTCCACCTGGCTTACTTTCCCTGGCATCTCACTCTCTTGTTTCCAGGAAGCTGAGGCATGCTCGTTTCGGAGACTGAAGAAGACTGTTTATCAGCATACATGGCCAAGATTGGCGTGAGCAATTTAAACAAGTCCAGTTTACATGAGATGCCAGTTGACATGCTGCACCATAACATGTTTCATGAACCGACTGGCCCTTTCATGTCATGCTACTACTATTTGGCTAAATTCTTTCGCAATGGGCATTGTTGTTGTGATAGATCTGAAGTTGCAGATTACATTGGCAAGAAACTGAAGTAAATGAGAGCAAAACAAGGAGGTGCATCTTTGAGTGGAGGTCCCCGAATTAGGGACAGAACTACAAGCAGGGGGTAGCCCTTGAAAACGGACAGCTAAAAGGAGTATGGCAAAGAGTATCCTAACCAAGTCATGCCGCCATTCACAGAGAGATGCTGGGAGTACACTGCTCGTTGTACTTCTTAGCGGAAAACGGGTCCAGCTGCATCGTGCATTCCACATGCACCATAACGCGTGGCGACGAGATGCCCCAGTATTTCACGCGCGCTGCAGTGCCAACCACCACCCGCATTTCCGCGCGCCCATGCAGCAGCGGCGTCGTCAGCAGGCTCGCGGGACTCAGCGTCGCCAGGGGCGCGTCGACAATATCGAGGGGGACAGTCAACTCCGCGCTCCCACCCTTGCTCATGCCCACGACGCCAGGAATGGTCACATTCGTAACATTCATGTCGAAGAATTTTACGTCCACGCTGATGTTTTCCGCTTCCACGTCCCAGTTGTTGGGGTTATACACGAGCGCGGTGACGTTTATTAACGCGGATAGGCCCAGGCGGAAGTTTTCGAGGCCCAGGAACCCGCCGCCGGATTTTGTGATGCCGACGCGGAGGATGTTGATTTGCTTGACCTTCACCTCCGGCTGTTGCTTTGAGACTGTCAGGTATGCGACGAGCCCTGCGACGCCTAATCCGACGATAACGACGGTGAGGACGATAAGCGACCAGCATGTGATGCGGCAGCAGCAGGTCCGGCGACGACGCCTCTGGCGATCCTTCTCGTCCTTGCGAAGCTTCTCTGTTTCGTCTGCAGTGCTGGTTACTTCTTTAGGATTGGCGATGTGCAAGTCGGAAGGGTAAACCGCGGTGAACTCTCCCGGGTTCTCCTCGTCGCCGCTGCCACTTGCGGAAACTGCGTTCCGTGCAAGCGGAGGCGCGCAGCAAAAAACGGGAAGCGATTTCTGAGGGGATGAGGAAACGGGAAGCGAAGCGTCTGGGACTGAGAAAGCGGAGTTTCCTGATTCAATGTCCCCGTCCGATGCGACCTGTTGTGTCGACCTTGAAATCCGTGAATCGTTGACGAGAGCCATATAGCCTGAAGGCGAGTGTGTATGGGGATGGTAGACGACGTGAGATGGTTGAGCGGACGTGTGTGGTCAAGTTGATGATTGGAGTTGCTTCGAATTGGTCTGTTAGGAATGGGCTTGCTCTTGCATATTTATCGTGCAAGTGAGGGGGAGAAATGTCGAAGTTCCGTGGCCCCGCCCCACCTCCACGTCACATTCTGGCCAGCCCTTGAACCGAGTCGCGCCCAGGGCAATCGCGGTCCGCTGTGCAGGATTTGGCAAATGAAATGGCGGAACCGAAGCTTCTTCGTCGCCTGGTAATTGGGGATGCGGACAAACGAACAAGACGAACCAGCCAACACGGCTCGGTCCCTCCAGTAGCCCATATTTCCAACCAGCCTAGCCTAGCCATTCAGGTTAGTGCTGGATTTTTTACAAGAAACATGCTACTTATGTGAGTGTAAGAAACATTCCTTACTAAGACCAGCAACACCACGTACAGCAGCAGCCGTTGTTTGCCCGTTACTGCTAATGGGGCTTCGCCAACTTCGCGCGCAATGTTTCAATAAACCTCGCACTGCTGGCCCGGCCGTGTCGGCCTACGCTTCGGGACTACCGTAAACCCCCGTATATAAGACCCTAGGGTATTATGATAATCTGGCCTTAATAAGTTGGGGGGTATAATTAAATGGTACATATTTTATAAGACCCGGGTCTTTTCAAATTGACTTCTATAAGTCTACTGTTTTGGAGCTCAAAGAAGTGAATTGGAATTGCTCCGTTTCTAGCACCTCCCAAATATACTCGAACTGGTCTCTTCCTGGGCCAAACCCACATCATCACGTACCCTATCTAAAAGCCTCCTCCCATTGGGCACAAACATCACTTGGTGTTGACATAAGCGAGAAGGGCACCGTTTGATGGGCCCGGCGCGCAGTGTCGCCTCGACCTGCACACCCCATGCACGCTTCGTGCGATCCTATAGGGCGGGAGCTTCAGACTCCCGTACTGTCGTCTGGCACGTCCTTGTTTTTTAGGGCTGACTTCACTTCCTCCTCCAGTTTCTTCCCCCCTTACTGTGCTCGGCTGGCTGCCATCTAAAAGGAGGTGGAGATCTGGGTTGCTGGAGAGGATTAGGCTGATAATTGGCCTGTGCATGCGCGTTCATGTGTGTGATTGTCTGTACCTGAACATGGAATAGGACCATTTTCCATTGCATTCGCTGAAAATACACACTTCTCTAGGATGTGGGGGGTCTTATAATGTCAGGAGCCATTTAGGGGGGTATAACTCGGATAGACTCGAATAGAGTACCCCCCTCCGTATTATAGACCCGGGGGTCTACAACTGGAGGGGGTCCTATATACGGGGGTTTACGGTAGCCCGAACCTTGCTGCCAGCGTAGCACTAGCTAGCTCGCACGCACCGCGTTGTCGTTTTGCATGTTTCGCGTACAAATGTTCGTTCATGCGTTCGCTCACATTTTGTACTCGTTTGATACTTAGTGCAATCCTCGTTACCTCGATCCATTGTACCCGTAACATTTGGTATCAGAGCTTCTTTCATTTTCGGACCGCGCATCTCCGCACCCCAGAAAGGCAACTTTTGATTTTTCACTCGAAGGGACTCACGCACCTTAGCCCCTAGGAGCCACTGTCTTCGCGTTCTCTCGTAAACGCGTGCAGCCACGACTGCGCCTAGACTAAGTCGAGCCGACGCCCTTCGCCATGGCTGAACACATCGACGTCACCATTCTCACACAGGACCGTTTGAACGAACTACTGCAGCAGCTGCACGAAAGTTCCGAATAAATTGCGGCGCTAACGGCAAAACGCCAATCCCTGCAGAATGACGTCGCACGAGGACAGCAAACACAATCACAAGCCCCTGGCACTCCGGGACAACATGCACCACAGGCATCTCAACACGGAAGTGTAGGGCGACCCGCGAGCGCGGCTAGTGATGGCGTCGTCCACCACGACGGAGACGACGACCATGGCGTGACACACCCCGAGGCGACGAATGCGGTTAGAAACCAGCCTCGCGTCACGATTTCGGCACCGACCAACGATTCGGCACTGCCGTCACCGATGCCGCTGAAGCCGCAGCGTCCGCCATGCTTCGACCCAAGTCAGCGGGGTGGTCCTACCGTTCAGGCGTGGTTGTTCACGATGAACGTTTTCTTCGACGCCAACTACGTCTCGGAGGATACGACGAAAATCCGCTACGCCGTGTCGCTGCTGCGAGGACCCGCCATGGACTGGTGGCATGTCATCGTCACGAAGCGGAACGACTACGCGACTCTACCGACGTGGGAAGGACAAACCAGACCCTGGGCGCCGTCGTACTTTGTGGAGGTGCCCCAATATCGCACGTGGGAGGCGTGGTGCGCAGGTTTGCGCGCTCGATTTGAGCCAATCGCGGCTTCGATCGCGGCGTGTTAGAAGCTCCGCACTTGGCGCCAACTCGGTTCCGTCCAGGACTACACCAGTGGGTTTCTGGCGCTATGCGAGTGGGATACATGCACGAGAGCGAGCGCATTGACCGCTACATCGGCGGCCTGAAGCACGACATTGCTAAGGAAATCCAACTTCACGGCGTCATCGACTTTCAGGAGATTCTCGCTATGGCGGCGAAACTCGATTTCTTCCGCCGACCGAGACCGGGGTCCTACAGAATCAACAGCAACTGGGGACATCGATCTCGTGGGATGAACGAGGGCCCTACGATACGCGCCGCGAAAGCCGCTGCCGCACCGTTCAAAGGGCGCTGCTTCGCGTGCAATTGGCAGGGACACCGCAAGAGCGAATGCCCAGAAAACGCTTAGGGAAAGGGGGAAGCCGAGCAGCAAAAACAGACCAAGCAGCAGGGAAACGCTGGGAGTCAGTAGCAGACGGGCCCTCTACTGAGAGGTCATGCCGCTCGCCCGACCCAACCGACCCTCACCGAGTGATTGTGCTGGTTCACGCGATTGACCACACTCGGCCGAATAAGGAGGGTACCGCGGTAGACAGCCCCATACTACTTATTGGGAAGATAGGAACGGACTTAGTTAAAATATTCGTAAACGGGGGAGCCAGCCACAGCCTCATCAACACTGCCACGGCACGGAAGCTGAAACTGCCACTGGACAGATGCTTACCTGAGATCGACGCAAGACTGGTTGACAACACGCCACTGGCGATACGGGAACGCGTGGACCGGGTTCGGATTCGATGCGGGGGTAACTTCACGTTTAGCCAGGAAATGCCCGCGACAACCCTTGACGGAACCGACGTTTTACTCGGCCGTGATTGGTTGTGACGGCACAATCCGCGAATCGACTGGACGTCGGGTGACTGCACCATGCGAGTGAACAGTAACAACGTCGCCCTACCTCGCTGGGGCTCGTCTGAGTCTTCGTCGGTGCGTGTCAACGCAATCACGATGAAAGGCGCCGTAGCGGCAGGAGCTGACGTGTAAGCGGTTGACATTCGGGAAGTCGAAGCAGCAGACCAGGGGGGCGATTTACAGACACTGCTTGCCGACGTACCGGATGACCTGGCAGCACTTCTCAAGCGTTACAGTGGGATATTTCCATATGACCTGCCGACAAGACTGCCACCTCAGCGACCGCAAGACCACAGGATAGAGTTAGAACCGGGAGCACAACCGACTGCTCAGCGACAGTTTCGACGAACTGAGGAAGAAGCTAGATTACCTGCTCGAAAAGGAGTTCAT